TTATTCATAATTGACAAGCATTAACAATTACATTTTTATTCACGTGCTTACTGTAGATATTTTAACTACTTTAACGAAGGAGGTAGCAGTGGGAAATTAAAACAGTCGAGTTAAATTTAGTGTCCTGGGTTCGTGTTGTAAGTGTCTACCAGAAAAGCAACGTAACATTTGAGAAAGAGGTTGCAATGTTACCATTAACCTGGTGAACGTCGGTCATCCGAAAGTGGCTAAGGGATGAGTCGCTCTAAATTTAACCTACCTTCAGAACCATTCCCATTTCATCAGACTGGTAAATGAACGTTACGTGAGGCTCTTCAGCAAATTGCCGTATAACGTGATGTATATTGTAAAATAAAATATGCACTATCAATAATAATTTAACATCGAATAAAAATGAACGTCGCTATTTGAGAAGTAGTATTCTCTACGAAACAGTCGAAGTAGAAAATGTGAAGAATAATCAAAAAAATACCCGAGAAAAGATTCTAGACTGAAGGAGGTAGTTCGTTAATCCCGTATGCCGACAGACGAATGTTTTGTCAAATCTTTACGAAGAAGAAAGTCGCGTAAAGGGAAAGAGAGTCGCGCACGGGTCTCGGGTGTCTCCGTAGCGGACTGAAAAATCCGCAAGGTTCCATTTCGTCAAAGCCACTTGCCGCGGCGTTCTAGCAAACGACTCGCGGCAAAGGGTCTCAAAGTCACCGTTGACCCGGCAAACGCGAGCCACGGTGGCTGGCGCGAAAAATACTCGCCGCGGTGCCAAAGTCAGACGTCGTCGTCGTCGTCGTCGGGGTAGCAAGGGTGACGTAAGCCGGCGCGGGGAAGCGGAAGTAGCCGACATACAAAGAGGGAGAGAGAAAGAGAGATAGTGAGCGAGCGAAAGAAGAACTGTGCGCTGAAAGTTCCGTTCATCTGGGCCAAGCTCGCAAATAACAAACCGTGGACCCGAGACGCGTTACAGTTCGCATTGGTGGCTCCCAGCGAACTACCGGAGAGGGCGAACAAACCACCGGACGAGACGAGGTGGGAATGGTAGCGTGCATTAAGGGAGAAACGACGCGGTGTAACCTACAGAAGGGTGGGTGGAACGGCAGAGAGAGGATGAAAGGGAGAGAGAGAGAGGGGGGGGGGCAGAGAGAAAGACGGAGAGAGAGGTAAAAGAAGGGCGTAACTGGGCCAAACGGTGGCTGTGTCGCGCGGTCTAGACGCGCTGTTGCTGAGAATTAATGCTCCCGATTCTCCAAACCTTTTCAGCACACGTTTCGAGAGTGCTTCCTAATCCGTGACGTCAGTGGTCACGAATTTGTATGAAAACCTCGAATTTCATCCCTTGGTCTAAATATTGCATCAAACGCTTCTTAACAATTATAGAATTTAATCCCACGATGTGAGAAAACGTCATTAGAATTAATTCAAACTGTTTTTGCGTCGTTGTTCTACTCATAAACGTACGAACACTTCGTTACTGCATGGATTCTGTATTATATTTAATTTTGGATGGAAAAAACCTTACGGGGTCCCTTGCCTTGCTAATTATAATGGCCACGCGGCACTTTTACCACAGAACCGGGTCGCAACGGAGACCAGAGGCTATTCTGGGACACGCGCGGGGTGTTTCTCTTTCGGGCACACGCGGATTCGTTGTTCAGACAGGTTGCCCCGGCTCGCGTCGAGGGAAAACAGGTTTCGGAATTGCGGGAAATCGGTTCGGGGGTAGTTTAACATCAAGAACTCGTTTGATGAGTACGCGAGCTTTTATGCATCTGTCTTAGCCAGTTCTCAGGCGTCGACGCGAAGTTAAGTGTTTTACGAATCACAATTTAAATTACGTAGTTATAGTATGCCATGAGTAAAATAATAATACGATAATGTAGCAAAATACGTTGACTATAATTGAGAACATACATGAAAGCCAGTAGATCTGTTTCATTCTACGCTATCACACGAATTATATAATCGTGAATTAAAGAATTGGATTTGAATTCAGAATATGGGAACGGCCGGATCTAATTTCAGTTGATATCACTTAGGCGATTTTAATCTTTTCGTTTTGAGCAGGAAATTGGTTCTACGTTGCAGATGGGATTAAGGAGGGATTAAGTCCATCGAGTCTGTGCGTAGAAAGTATTATTAATGTACACAACCAGGCAATGAAATAATGGCGCGAGTAGATGATAGTGACAGCAGATATAATAATGAACGATTGAGAAGGGTCGAGATCAGTTTAATGCTCGCCAATTCTAGTAATGATTAAATAAGTTATAATGTTCGCTCGCCGAATTTCGTATTCCTAACAAAATAATTTAATTCACTAGCAATTGTTTGTAATTCGCTTCACGCGGAAATACGTTCCTTTTGTCTCTAAATGAGACTAAACGCGATTAACGTTCGATACGCTCCTCAACGCTAATATACTGTATTAAATACCGTCGCATGTTGCCAGTCGATGGATCAGGAATATGCGGTTCGTGCGGTCGCGACCGTATCAATTATTATATAAGTCGATACATGAGCGATGAGTTTTAAACTGTAACTGGAACCATCGCTAATAATTTTCTGTCGCGAAAAATAGTCTGCGCCACGATACTGTGATATAACATCGATTTGTGGTAATCACAAACGCGATCACGGCATTTTTATAGAATTATATGATGAATAAATTAATCACTGAATTGCCTAAATAATAATAATAATAATATTGTATTAAGTAATTACGAATACCTTTAAGCTGGATTGAGAAAAGGATCACTTGACCCGAGAAACACTTTTTGTGCTCACTGTACGTTGCCTGATTACTGATTCCTCTAATTATGCGAGGGATAAAAATAGACCTGAGATACAATAAGGATAGCGGCACTCTCTAATTGATATAGTTATTTAAACCGTTGGGAACGGAATCTTAGCGCTCGGCTATTATTACACGCATTACAATATTATATTTAACATACTAACAGAACACCGTACGATTAAAATGCTAATAGACACGATACCAGGTATCTGCTCGTTTGCTGGCAAATTGTATACACGAGTTAATATTATTAAGAGAAACCTTTTAATTAATTTAATATACGATGGCTCAATGAAGTCATTTATATCAAAGATTAATTCAATATTATCATCAATTATCGCATCTACTTATTAAGAGTCTGCTGAATTGTGAAAGGTAGTGTACTCGTACATTTATGTTCACTACGGAGCCGAGTAAATAAAAGTAAACGCTGCAATACCCGGTAAATTTTCACGGGTATCTACCGTAACCATCTTGATCATTCTATTATTCCGCGTTTACATTAACGCGCATTCTTAATAAGTTCCCAGAGTTTGTGCTACGACTTCATTAGAAAAATTTGCTGGCAATTGGAGAAGAGAACGAACGAGGAACAGAAAGCCCCGTTCATTTAAAATAATTCTTTCATGGACATATTGTTTCATTATTATGTCTGTAAATCTAGAAAATTTTCTCTCAAAGCTTAAGCGAATGTAATAAAAGAAGGGAACCGGAGAGTGGCCAGAACTCAATACACTCAGTAGTTTCATACAATTAAACATTGTAATTTAACTCCGATATGCGTGCTTTAAGGCTCGAGAATCTCGAATTTCGCTCTCGGTGCGGTAAAAAAAAAAATATAAGCGAAAGTTGCACACACGGGTCATTCCACGCCACTCTGATCGACGTTGTGCTCAGATCGTACTCCCGTTGAACCGTGTCGCGAACCAGATTAAAATAACAAGGGATGCTCGAGTCATCGATCTTATTCACAAACTCAGAGTATTTCAAGATTTTCACAGTGTTTCACGCTGAATAAAATTCTAACGATGTCTGATAATAATATTTCCCTATGCTGATAATGCGAGAGACAATGGGAACGGGGATGATTGAAATGCAACGCGTGCGCGCGCTATTTAAATACACACAATCGAAAGTGGAAGTAATTAGTACGTCGGGTTGCGAGACTCATCGGGTGGCTCGAGACGTTAGCATAGCCGGCCAAGCGGTTCCTCTCTCGTCTTCGAGGAATTTCACCCTAAGCCGGTGGAGAGTTCGGCAAACAATGTCGACTATTCCTAACTTGTAACCAGGAATTGGACGAGGCCCTCGTGTGTGCTGATCACACAAGTCGAGGTACTTGCGCGCGGAGTTCACGCCGCACCGGTACGTTTCCTTTATGAATTCGTAGAGTGCAGTGAAGCACTTTACTTTTCCGGTTCTTCGGACAAACGCACGCTTGCACGCCCGGCCGCGGTTTGCCCGTACGACGAGCAAACGATATTCAAGTGACCGTTTCTTTTTAATGTTAATCGAGTCCAATGCCGGACAGTTTACTCGTCAAAGTTGATTCGCGTTAATCATCGAACTGTTCCGAGAATTATATAAAAATCATACAGACACAATTAGAGCTTTTCGTCATTTCTATGTCTCGTCTCGCAAAATCTGCAACTTCTGGGAATCACGGTTCAGAGGTAAAATCTGGTTAGTGCGATTCTTTCGTAACTTTATGACAAGTCCGTCAAGCTTTCTAACGAAGTCCGTCGCGATTTCGCCTTGTTCTACTTTTTTCACCACGATGTCAATTAAAAGTCCACCGTGGAAAAATTCCACCGTGTCTCGTTAATACGACGTTCCGGGAATGCCTCGGCAGTCTTTCGCGAAGACAGAGACGTGCACACCGGCATAATTATGACAGCGATTAGGCGCGCCGTGAAATGGGATGAAAAATTTTATTCACTATGTCTTTCAGATTTAGTTCACACAATTTCATTAAAACCTTAATAAAATCGTAGGATTTGATGTTGGGAGAGCCTTTCACGTGTTTCGTTTCTTTGTTTTACGTGGAATAATCCATGGGAATAATAAACAGAGAGTCAGAGTACATATTTAATAAAACCTGAGAATCGTCTGACTAGTGCAGGACAAGACTACTTGATTCACTGAATTTACGTGAGAGCAGTGTCTCATTGAACTCGGGATTAATATCTGTCACTTTGATAACGTGTTACAGGCGGCATATGCTGGTCTTCCATCAGCAACGGTCGGTGTAAGGAATTGCTGTCGCAGGGAGTAACGAAGGAGGACTGTTGCGCGTCGAACGCAGCAGCTGCGACTGCCTACTCCGAGGAAGACCTCGATAGCGGAAGCTTATTTTTTTGGAAGGTGCTCGGGGGAGGTGTGCAGTGTCGTCCATGCAGAGGTACGCGCTTCGTTTCAATTTTAAGATGAAATTAAATATAGAAAATCTCTACTTTTAGTACATCAGTATTGACTGTCATTTATTTTTATTTTTAATTTTTGCTTATAGAAAGCTGCGCGGAGGTGAGGTGCGAAGAGGGTAAAAAGTGCGTGGTGCGCAGAGGGAGACCGAGGTGCGTGTGCAGTCCTGAGTGCAAGGCGCCGAGGGGCGGAGGTCCTGTCTGCGGGACGGACGGCAAGAGTTACAAGAATCTGTGCAGACTGAAGAAACGCGCGTGCAAGAAGGGAAGTCACGAGCTAGCGGTTGCCTACAACGGCCACTGCCAAAGTGAGTATGTATGACATAGATAGAATCATTATCACCGCGATTGAATACCCGAATTTTTATAATAAAATCGTGTTCAAATAAAAGATTGATAATCATTCAATTCGTCAAACAATCAGTCTAATAAATCTACACGTTTACTGAATTCCTTGATACACAATTGAAGAATAATTAAAAATGGAATTTTCAGAGGTATTCGATCGCAAACATAAAAATAATTCATATAATTTTCATCATCATTAATTGTTGAGAGATCTCCTTTGAAACGTTAAGTAGAACTATTTTAAGTCGCGCAAGTTTTGAGGAACAGTCGATCACGAGGGCGGTTTACGACTGTGCGTAATAACGTGTAAAGTATCGGGCAGGTTCGTGCGCCCGGGTACGGTGTGGCCAAGGCCGGAGCTGCTTGCTGGATCAAAACCTGAGCCCGCATTGCGTGAGGTGCGCCCGCAGGTGCCCCCAGCCGCCCCCGCAACAGCGAGCCGCCGTCCGGCCCGTCTGCGGGGCCGACGGAAATACGTACAAGAGTGCCTGCCACCTGCGACTCGCCGCCTGCCGCGCAGGTCGCGCCATTCCCGTCGCCTATAAGGGACACTGCAAACGTGAGTCTATTTTCCTTCACTCTTTAAATTCGGGAGACCACTATACATCTTTTGGTTCTAAGCTTTTGCACATTACTGTTAAATTATTCATACAAAATAATCATCTGAATATTTTAACTTAAACGGATTAAATGAATCCGTGATACGACTTTTTATCTTGTCACGTGGTTATACTATTATTCTTTTATTCCGCGTTATGGCGCGGAAATTAGTAGAATTCTTGCGTGAGAGAGCTTGCACGTTTCGCGCTTTCTTTCGAAGGTACAACCTGTTGCTTCTCACGTGAAAGAGCGATTAAACGCAGGAAAACGGGAGTAAACCGCAGGGTAGCTTTTATTATACCAGACGCAACTGGTGAACAAGAATTTTTCTGAACCAAACTGACAGAAATTCAGTAGAAAGTCGACAGCTCGCTTTTTAGAAATTGAACTTCATGGATTCTTTTAAATTATAATTCTCATGTAAAAGAAAAGTGTTCCACAGAAGAATAATGCAGAAATTTCAATGCGAAAATATCGGCAATCCTATAATTTGCACGAGCAATTGATTAATTCCTGTAGTGTAAAAATATTTTCTCGAACCTATTGTTTCCCCGCGAGAAAGAGAGGAGCGGCATAAAAATCGCGGACGGGAAAAAAAACGAGCAGGAAGGGGTGAAGGACGGGTACGAGGCGAAGTAAAGGAATAAAACAGGGGGAGAGAAGGAGAAGTTTCTCGGTTCATTGGTGAGCAGCCGGGTAGCCAGACTGCCGCTGCTTTGCATCGGAATGTACCTTATTGTTGTCTGGTTTGCACAGTGCCGAATTCTTCTGGCAGGTGCCATAAAGTCACCGAGCCAAGTTATGTCCAAACAAGAGAGTTCGCAGGGAATAATAAAATCCTGAACCTTGCGCGACCATTCGCCTTTTCGACCTCCTTTTTCTGCAAGTAAAGTCCCTGCGTTTAATCTTATTCCATGACAACCAATCACTTCTCATCGAGACTTTGCAGACAAGTGCAGATTGGCAATGAAAATTGCATAATTTATATAGTGTCAAAAATTTTGGTAAACTTTCTCAAATCTTTTTTTTTGCGGGTTGATTTTTGCGAGTGACTGCAATTTTATAAGGTTTGTTTCTTGGAACGAAGAGTGTGATCTTTCTTCTGGGAAGATAAACTCCATTTTACTGTTCTCTTTCCCCGACATTCTTCCCCGCTTCATCTCTCGACCGTTAACACTATCCTCCTTCCAGGGATAACAGATCCTGGCGTACGTATTCCGTGAATCACTTTGTAAATCTTTCAAGCTAGTTTTCATTGTCTTCAATCATTTTCTCACTAGTATTTGACATTTTGTCGTTCAATGATTGATGAGAAGAAAGAGGAACGTTTAAAGATTTACTCATTCGAGAGAAGCGTAGCTCCTTTCTTTCTCGGCTAAAATTTGGTTCGGTCTCGTTGGGATTTTTGAGTAACTTGCTAATCGGCCGTAGCATTGTGCAAATACGAAGACATTTTACATGTTAAGGTGTCAAAATCCGCACTATTTTTTTTATATCGTCTCCTTTATCATCGACAATATCGGAAGAATTGTACATGTATTTCTCGCTCCGTCTCAGACAAGTAAATCATTCACTGCCATTTTAATGTGAGACGATGATGGAGTGCGGACGAACAAGATAAAATTTCGATATGACGGTGCGAAAGGAGTTAAAGGCGTAAAACAGGTGAGTCGAAGGAGGTAATAATCGAGGTTCGCGTGATTTTTTCGCGGCGGAACGCGTGTCGCGCAATTTCTCGCCGACACGACGACGACGGCTCCTTGACTCGGCCCGAGTCGAGTGTCCGACATTGCGTGGATTCAAGAAGAAAAGGACAGAAAGAAACGTAAAGGGTAAGAAGAGGGGAAAAAAAGACATCGAGAGGCAATCGCAAGATCGTTCCGGGAAGTTCATCGACCGAGACGCGATCTGGCTGGCTGCGAGAGAAAACAAAAAAAGAGAGAAAAAGGAGGGGAAAAAGAATTATAAAAAGAGGGAAGACAGTGCGAGTGGTAAAGGTGGACCGGGAGTAAAGGGAGGAAAGAAAGAGAATGGGGAGAGGAGAGAGCAAGGGAGGTGGAGTCGTATCGTTTTCTGCGTATTCCGCCGGAGAAGTCGTAATAAAGCCTGTAACTTTGGACGTAAGATCAACGATTGCCAGAGAGTTCGCCAGGTATAGTTTCTTTTCCATGTGCTGCGCACGCCGCGCCGTCACCGTCATCGTCACGCGATCCGTTCCGATCGTTTCGCCTGCTAATTTCTCCCGGACAACTGCCTCGCGAACTAATCATCAGCCGTAGAAATCTCTACACCGTTACGATTTAACCGTAATAGAAACCACTGATTCACAAATATTACTCGTATAAGATGAACTTTGCATTTAAAAAAATATCATTGCTCTTGAGAAAAGATTATCTATATAATCTTGTACGATTTTCTTCATATAAGACTGATTATGCTCGATGAAGAGAATGTTCTCTCGCAAAACGTTTTCTAAAAAATGACGCTGGGACGAAATAATTTGTCGGTGAAATTAAAGTTTCACACAGTTTTTCGTTGAGTTCTCGTCGCGAATCAAGGAGGATTCACCGGGAATATTTTTTCGCCGTGTTGATCGCTTTTTCGATTAGCGGAACGCGCGTGTAGGACCCGTAACACGTATGTATAAACGTGGAATCAAAAACTCGTTAAGGGAATCGGCATCAAACGCGTGTAAGGAGTGTATAACTCGAGGCCGTCACGTTCGGGTCGCGTCGCGTCGGAGGGATAATCCGCGGTTTCGTCGTTGATTTACGACCCGTGAAATGCCGAGGACGCGTGTCTTTTCTGAAACGTTATCCCTTTACGTTGTTAGTCGCGGACCAAGATATTTTCATCGACATGCATTCTTACACGGCCAGGGTATCCCGTTCCCATGCAGTTCCTTTCTAAACCATTAGTTTATCTGTTCCACGTTTTCTTAAAAATCTTAGCTCTATCCTTCGTGTACTGAAAATATTCACCGATAAAAACTGACTAAGATCGCTGATTCTTTTACTGGAATGAAAGTAGGGGGTTCGATCCTAGTCGGGTTTCGGAGATGGGTTTTGAGAATGAGAATCTGCTGTGACGCTCGAAACGCGGAGCGAAGAAGTGAGCGTGAAAATCAATCATCCCGTAAAATCACCGTATAAGTTCATACGAAAGTGGACACGGTTCATCGTGTCCCGAAGAGGCGTAAAAAGCGTTACGAGCCGTTCGGCCGACTTCACCGAGAGTCGTCGGTTCGGCACGGCTCGGCTCCGGCTCGCAGCACGGCTCGGGCTAATTACGCCGGTGCTTCCGGTGGTTCGCCCGGTCGCACGTTTGTGCCGGCGGAAGCGGTCACGCGTGCATAGTTCATTGCGATATAATGGTCATAGAGAAGGAGGAGGAAGTAGAAGAAGAAGGAATGAATCAGACGTCGCGCCGAGGAAAAGGGTTGGCACGCGTGCGCGTGCACGTGAGCGCGCGCGTGGAGACGTCGCGGACGTGTGTAAGGGCGTGTCCTTGTGGCGTCCTTGCCCTCCGGTCGTTCACCGTACGCACGTACGCACGCACGCACGGACGCATGTATGCAGCGCAGGAGGAGCGGAGCGCGCCCACGCAACGCTTGTGCATGTTTGGAAGCCGGGACATGCGGTCTTTTAAGTTTACGACACTTACGGTGTCCCTACCTACGTCCAGGTTCCCCCTTCGACTAAAAATAACCGGCGACTCGAGGAATTCGGCGTGTATCGATCAACGTTCGCCACCGGACCGACTAAATCTACTACATACATTAAGTTTTATGTACAGGCACGTCGTCAAACAGTTTGTCTCGATTAGTCCCGGCTTTTTGACAATTTCATACTTGCGTCGTGTTTCAAATGTTTAGAATGAAAACAAGCACTAGACCTCTCGATTTCGAGCAAAGAAGTTTTTTTATTCAATGTTTAGTCTGCTTATGTAAATCGGGGGGGTGATGATAATATTCCACGAACGTGAGTAAGCAGAATTATTGGGAGTCAATCTGTAATGACGTAACAATAAATTATTTTTTCCTCGAGGAACTGGTATGACTAAGATCCGACGTGACTAATTTCACAGTGGGTGGAGCGTGGGAATGCAGAGGAACAAAAAACAAACGCATTGCAAAAGCTCGCTACGTATTTTTAAAGCGGTTCAATAAATTCTTCGAAAACAGGGAGAAACCCTCGAAACCCGACGCGTTCGCATTCCACCAGTTGTGCTAATCAATTACATAATGATTAATTTCACTTCGCGAGACGGTCGATTCATAAAATCATTGGTGTTTATTTTCCCAATTGTCTCGTATTCCGACTTAACGGCCTGAAAATACTGCAACGTTTACCGTTCGCTAAAAATAGCAGGAAGTTACGCGTCTCAACAGATTACTCCACGATTTCTCGCTTTATTAAGCATTCGCATCCGCGTAAATACGTCCGCGAGTCCAAACAATTTCGAATGCTCGTTACGTCAAATTGCAGGCCCTTTCGAATCGGCAAAACAGTGACTGAGAAACGCCAGATCTCGCGACCTCGAGTATCTCTCACGGGAATGAAGGAAGAAGACGAACAATAAGCTAGAAACGCGGCTTTTAAAATAATAAACCTGACAGGAGAGTCGACTTATTTTCGTTTCCCGCTCGATAACTCTCTCGCGAGCTGTTTCGCGAGCGGCGGGATCACGGGATCCGGCGTTGCCGCGATGGAACGTTACGACCGATCTAAATCGGGAGCCTCGCGAAACAACAAACTATTGCCATCCCGATTTGAAGCCCGAAATTTTATCCGAGGCACTTTCTGAAAAAACATCAGAGAGGATAAAGCAACTACAAGGCGACAGTCTTGGACTCTTTTTCCTGCAGATTCGTCATTACATATGGAGCGAGTCAATAAGAATAGTCATACGAAATAATAGATTATTCCTTTGTTTCATTAAAGACAGACACCATAAATC